CGCGGTGCGAGAAAATACCACGAAAACAGACATATTTCCGCTTCGGAGTTCGCGTATTATAATGATTAAAAAAGGAGGCATAAATGCCTTTTGCGGCCACTGCCACATTCCGCCTGTTGTTCGGCGGTCCCCGACGGATAGTCGGTCGGGGGAAAATCGGAGGAGGAACGGAGCGGAGGGATGCACTCCGTTACATAATTATTTGGGTCTATGCATAATTCCGTAGCGAAATTCCGACAGATATTGTTTGCAGTTGTTTTTCTGCTCGCACATATGTCAAACATATGAAGTGTCATACATTAAGTGTCGTATATTAAAGCTGAAATTTGTGCCGACATTTTAAGAAAATATTTATCGAGATCCGTGATGTGTATGAAGTTTAATTATATTTTGAACATGGAAGGAAAAAACGTATATTTTCGGTGTATTTCGCTTTTTTATTTCCGAAAAGGCAAAAAACGCGTCGCGAACTCACAAAAAGATATGCGCTGTGTATGGAGAGAATACCGTAAGCGAAAGTGTGTCAAAAGTGGTTTGCGAAATTTCGTTGCGGAGATTTTGATTCCCAAGATGCTCCTCGCTCTGGTCGGCCAGTCACTATTTGATGTCAATCAAATCAAGACTTTAATCGATTCCAACCGGCCATTTGACGACTACAGAGATCGGACATAATCTCAACATTGATCAATCAACTGTTTCGAGACATTTACGGAAGCTTGGGATTGTAAATAAGCTTGATGTTTGGGTGCCGTACAAACTGAGCGAAAAGAATTTAATGGACCGAATTTCAGCTTGCGATTCGCTTAAACACCATCAAAACGAATCATTTTTAAAGCGGATGATCACTGGCGATGAAAAGTAGCTTGTCTATAACAATGTCAGTCGAAAAAGATCATGAAGCGCTGAGAGGCTGCTGAGACGGTCGCAAAGATTGGATTACACCCGATAGTAGATGAGCAAGGGGGTCCTAAGCTCCCCGGGGCGAGAAGGGGGTGAGGAGGGGGAGTCGTAGAATCCCCACGGGATTCGTATCCGGTGGAGAGAAGGTGGATCCCTCTGGCGATCATCGGGGTAGGTTTATCCTCAGTCGGTAAGGCGGTCGCGGGGTTTCCCCGGGTCGGTTTCCCCCAGGCGTTCTACGAGGATGCGACGTGTGTGTCCTCCCCATCTTCGACGCCGCTCTAGCGGGGTCTAGCGCGTCTTGTTTCGCAGGATGCCGCGGTTTGTTACGTCGCCTTAGCGTTTTCCGCGGGGTCTAGCGCTTCCCGCGTCTGAGTATTTTCCGCGGGGTCTAGCGCGTCCTGTTTCGCGGGATGTCGCGATTTTTTTTTACGTCGCCTTAGGCGTGTTCCGTGTCTAGGCGTCGTCTATGAGGATATAACGCGTGCCGCTCGTCCTGTTTTGTAGAACGTTGCGGTTTGACGCGTCATCGAGGTGATTCTTTTGAGCGATACTTGTCGTCGTGTTTACGATGGCGAGAACCGTCAAAGTAGCGAATCGGTGCCAGACAGGAATGATCGATGACGATGAAATGTGTTGGTGCCATTCGCTGGATGACCTAACATCTTCTCCATTGCGAAATGTGACAGCGTATCCATTGGTCAATGTGACGGAGTACGTGGTGAGAGAACAATACACTCCGATTTCTAATCAGTTAAAGAGGCGCGATTGATCGATTTCCGCGTGAAATTTCACCTAAAAAGGTAATAAAGGCGTGTGTATGTCATCGCTATCGAGGGCTGGCATATAATCTTTTACTGGAGGTACTCTATGAAAAGAAGAAACCGATCGAGATTAGCAGACGACAAGAGTACGTGGTGAACTTTCATGAAAGCGGCTATTACGACGTATTTAACGACAACGATGACGACGAAATGTTTTTTTGCGCTCATCACAAATATTGGAGAAAAAGCAATACCGTTTCGTCAGCTGCGTACGAGGAGGAGAGAAAAAGAAGAGAGCGCGTTGGCATCAATTAGCGCAACTAAGTGTGCGTGCATATAATTATGTACTATAATTGTAATATAACTATGGCTTGTGTATATGAATATATATGAGATTAAGACTAACCACGAGAGACGGAATTTCCTTTCCTCGTTCGTTTGCATATTGCGGAGACGATAGGCGCATCGGGCGACGCGCCGGAAGTCTTCAATTTGCGATACCGAGGGTGACGTTATATTATCGGGAACGTATGAGAGACGAGAGGTGAGAGTCGCGCGAGGAGGAAATCGTCATACGAGTGTTAATAATAACGAGAAATTCAATTTGCGATATCAAGGACAACAGTATCGGGAATGTATATAGAGATGGGGATTGCGCGAGGAGGGAATCGTCGTAGGAGTGTTAATAATGACGAGAGAATATTTTATTGTTGTATTATCTTATTATTGTTGTATTATTTTATTAATGTATTATCTTATTAATGTATTATCTTATTAATGTATTATCTTATTAATGTATTATCGTATTATTGTATTATCGTATTATTGTATTATCTTATTATTGTATTATTTTATTATTGTATTATTTTATCAGGAACGTAAAAAGAGGAAAGAGATATTTGTAAGATACTGCGGTTAGGCGCGTTCTGTGTCTAGGCGTTTTTCCGCGGGGTTTAGCGCGTCCTGTTTTCGCGGCGACGGGAAGACGCGCGTTCTGATTATGTAGAATACCGCGCGTCACCTTAGCGTTTTTTCGTTGGGGTTTAGCGCTTCCCGCATCTGGGG